CCGACATCGACTTTGATTGGCACTAATTATTCTTCCCTTTATTCTTCGTGGCTTTTTTTCTTGGTTTCCTGCTGAAATATCATCATTCGTTAATTCCCATCCAAACGGGTCTGGCGAAAGACTTCTCATATACGCATGCTGCGACTTGAATATGACCTTGAAAAAAGATGGGATCTAGGAACCAGAAATACTGTATAGGATTAAGGCGAGGCGATAGATTCGCACGAGTCGAAAATGTTCCTGGGAATTATTTTTAGGTAACCTATACAGGGGAGTCCATCCAGAGATGCAGTCATAATCAGTGCTTTGACCTTGTCCCTGTATCTCAGAGCATCAGTATGCCGAAACAAATACTGTATTCCCATAGACTTTAATGGGAAAATATTCAAGTGCTTCTCCTGTTCATCACAAATCCGGAATGAAAATCCCTAAAAATTTAATACTGTTTTACCAACTTCAAGATAGGTACAGTGAGACCCCCATATTTGGACACCTTGACTTGGGGACAGTTCAACTTGGGGACATTTTTTTAAAAATAAAATATCACAAAAAAGGACCAACATACAGACACTGACTCAACATGAGGACAGGACATTGCATGATAAAATTGCCAATAAACGTTAGGAAAATTGACTTTTATTAAGCTTAATTGCAAGAAACAGATACTGTAGAATCTCATTACAACAAACTCCAAGGGACCATGAAAATAATTTGTTATAACAAAAACATTGTTATATCAAGATTCATGTAATTATTTGCATAAAAACACTTTGACATGTGATCAAAATCACAATCACAAGGCACTAATTTTTCAAATCCCCAATCACAATTGCAATTTCTTTCTTTGTATTTTTGCCCATTTTCAATCACCAGGGTAATTGCAACTGTTTTCAGGATTTCCATCCTCTTGCTTTTCACATTTCTTGTAATAATCCCTGATTAATCTAAAATCATTACCAAAAAATCAATCATGTGAATGGGTGAAAAGAGCATTAAAGAAAATTTAATAAAAACAATTCTTTAGCATCATATGGAAGCCATCTTTCCTCAATCTATTTGGATTCTCACCAGACAAAAAACAGAAAATGTCTACCTTGGTAAAGGAATAGAGTGAAAATATGAATAAAGCTAAATAGCCTTTCTAATGTATTATTCAATGATAGAGAGCCAAACTCAATATTTCATCCAAGTTGAATTACCAATGGAAAACAAACTATGATGAGCTTCTTTGTGTGCCAATCAGTCTGAAGTTGAAGCCATGAAATGAATGTATCCACTTCCTTCTGGTAACTTACACGGTTAATGAAAAAAGTTAACAGTTGATCATTTTTCATAGAATTTTGACCATGTTTGAAATCAATTGGTCTGAGAAAAATGCATACACTGCTTTAGTTATTTGGTACTGGTTTTGATTGTGATTATATCAGTTTTTCTCAAATCACAAGTACAATTGCAAGCCTTCAAACAATGATTGCCCAATCACATACTGCATTTTTTGATTACAACATGCCCCTGTGTCAGGCATGCATCCCAGTATTTTTGAAAAAAAATCTATCCAGACTTATCCGCATATTAGACCCACAGCCCCACTTTCTTCATTCCTGAACATGAAGAATTTTGAAATATTTTGCGCAGTTCCCTCTTTCCCCAGTGATATTTTGTCTTTCTTGTTTTATACCAGCTGCAAGAACAGATAAAATGTGCTTGCAATATATAGCAGCAGCTTCCTCAATTAGATAAAAGATTTCCCCTTCATCTTCTTCCTGTGGTATTTCCAACTAATGTATTCCTAAAATTGTTATTGCTCAAACCATTATTTTCCATGGACAAAGAGACTTGGTGCCCCACATTCTCTCTTCATTTATCTTCCTGGATTACTTTCATTTGTTAGGGGTACTGCTTTTGTAGATTATTCCTTGAAGATATTCATGCTGAAGTACTGCAGGCATCCCGGTTTTCTGCCTCAATTTTTGAAAGAAGGTTTATGTGGTATTTGAGTAAAAACAGTACTGTGCTCAATTTTATCAAGAGGTATCAAGATTGATAAAAATAGGTCTTTCAATTTTCTAGAAATTTTGGATAAGTGTCTGTGAGACATTGTCTGGATGTCAATCCTTATTTTTTCACTTGAGATCTAGATTTTTTTGAGTGTCCCTGAGTGAAATTGTTTCTAAGTTGGAATCTCATTGTATGTTGTAAACAAGAGGTAAACAAGAGGTAACCCAACATAAACATTCCCTGTTATTCACTAGCTTGATCATGCCAATCATAGGATGATATATTATTTCAAATGCTCATCATAATGCAGTCAACCCCCTTCAACTGCCCCTTGATAAACCTCAACTCTCACTCACCACCAAAATTGTACCTGGAACAAATCTTCCCAATTATTTGAGGGATTGAAAACCTAAACTGTCAACTGCCATCCACCAATGATTTCTTGACTCAAAAAGGCATTTACCCTTACTTTTTCACTTGATAAATGGCCAAATTTGTCCGTATTTTGTTTTATAAAGGATAATACTAAATCTACATGGGAGAATACTGGAGTGATGGAACTTTCCTGTCTTTTTTTCAAATTTTTTTCAATGTATTCACATTTTTCTTCATAAAACATTGATTACTTTTTTCAAACATTGGGGATAAAAGAAAGAAATTATTGCAGAAAATGTTAAAAAACTTTATTTTTTCCAAGATACTTCTTTCCCTCCAGGCACCTCCACCCCTGATAAACTGCCACTCTGGTTAAACGGCCAAAATCTTGCTGCACAGACCTTGGCTGGTTAAGGAGGGTTGACTGTATATTATTTCAAGCCCTCTGATGTGTTTTCCGCTTGTATTAGTACTGGCCCACTAAATGTCGGTGCTTATTAAAGCAGACATTTTTTGCTCGTTCGGAATGCGTTTGTCATGTTCTGTCTCGTGTGGAAGGGAAGCGCGGATCCAAAACACGGAACAAAACGTTCCTGAAAGGAAAAGGATGGGATGGCAGAGAGGAATAAGCCATTTTGTCTCGTTGTACATATACAGTACCTATATCTTGTGGGATCCAGCATAAACTTCGAATTCCAGGTTTTCTCAAAATTGAAAAAGCTAATTTTTGCTATGCATGCATTTTTCGAGCACGCAGGCTTCCGTTTTTCTCCCTGCTGGCTTCTGTGTTCACTTTCCAGAAATTCTGTTTTTCGTCGAAATTTTAAATCGTAAAATAATAAAGCACGTGCAGTACGTATTGAAAGTAATGGACATGCAGTACTGGATTATATATATTTTTTGCGTCTCAACCACCGTATTGCGCTCAACCAGCAACATTCATTCATGAGCAATGTAAGACGAACTCGTAAATCATCTGCGTTATGCTTAAGTGAGAGTACTGATAGAATCCGAGGCATTTGAGTTCTCTTGGGAAATGTATTCTTACGGAAATGGGTGATTGATGAACTTTGCTCCATAATTCGTTAGCATTTTCTTTGTGGCCCACATAAATTGGGCGTGGCATTGCAAAGAGGAGAATAAATCGCAGACTTTCAACGTGATTGTTTAAAAGGCTTTACTGTTCTCAACAATAATTCATAGGATTCAGAGTTGAGGAGTTTATATCCATTTTTTTATCTAAGGAGTTAAACGTGAACGTATTTATCGGTTGAAAAGTGTAGCTGAGGACTCCCATTCAATTAGGCCCTCAATTCTATAGCTATAACAAACTCCAAATGCTTACCTTCTGTTAGGCCCCCAACAGATGCTACTGAGCAACCAACTGAGCATCCATTGCCCAGGGCATGACCATGGGGGGTGTGGCAGCAGCACATGTGCAGCAGAAAACCCCTGCCTGCTGCACATGTGCTGGATATATTTGCTGCATTGCAGAAAACCGTGGGCTAGGAGGAATTATGGACAGACTGAGAGGAATCTCAGCATTCAGAGATTGAGATGGATGGAGCATAGGAAGTGTCTTGTGTGAAACAAGGTGTCTGTTGTACACCCTGTCTTGTGTGATCTTTTTATTTCAGAGCTCCAAAGCCCCACTGAGCCCACATTTGTTCTGCATGACAAAAAAAACTAGGTTTTTTGGGCTTTCTCTAAGAAGGACCCAGCTGACTAATGGCTGATTCTGTGTACCTTCATTTCTAACTCTTTAATTTGTCAATTCTGGCCAGAGATTTCCAAAGTAAAAAGCACTTGAAAATTTGTTCCTAGTGTTTTTAAAGAATTTAAAATTCCTATCAATAATATCATTATCGTGTCAAGGTACATGGCACGTCATCTCAATATCCCTTGATTATGCTGTATCATCGTATATCATTATATGTTACACAATTATCTTTGAATGCATGGAAGGAAAAATAATTGTTTTCAAATGGAATACTAAACAAGGCTTTGCTGTTGTTCATCATCAGTTCAAGGATATGAACATGCTTTAATGTTTATCACTTTTCAAAAATACAATTCATGATACATTCTGTTGAATATCAAAAAAATTGATTTTTCATGAGGGCACCTCTGCTTTTTTCTTGAAACAGGTGCCTGAAAATGAGAGACTACCTTCTTACTTTTGCAGTGCAGGTTGATTTCAAGCATTTACTTTACACAAATTACTTATTATTGGAATGTACCATGTAATTCATCAATGCGAATATCCAAACGTAACTTGAACACGTTATTGCAAATTTCGGCTGTGAATCATCTGCAATTAATATCTTGCTCATGAAATTGGAAATGGTCGGCCCACGATGCTGACAGTGCAGGAGTTTAAGCAAAGAGCGCCAATGCCATTTTATTGGCAGCATCCTCACGAGCACGTAATTGTGGTGAAATAAGGTGCTGTTCCGGCAAAGAAAAGCAATTTTATCCTTCCCTCCCGAACTAGCGTTGAAAGGTTCGAGCTGACTCTTCATATCGATATATATTTTTTTCTGCTCATTATTCTCGCACTTTCCGGTCCCCGCCCTCAGGGAAATCTTGGCAGGAGCCGCCACGGGCTGAGTTGCTCGCAGCGGCGGATGTGCCAGTGCTACAGCCGAGTGCTGCGGAAATGGTTCTGCTGCGACTGCCTGACTGGGCCCTGCTTCCCTGGAACTGCGACAGCTGTCGTGTACCCGGGAAAAGGGGTTGCGATGCACTCCCTGCAGCCCGGCGACCGGGTCCTGGCAGGTACAGTGCATGAGAGTACAGTACAGTACACAGAACGGCATGTATGCGGATGATACCGTCCCACACAACACTTTTTGTTTTTTGTTTTAGTCGTTTCGGTATTTGGTGCTGTGCTAGTGGACCAGATAAAAAAAAACCATTGTATAGTCGGAAGAGTTCAGCTGCAGAAAAAGCTTAAAACATGCTGAGCAGAGAACCTCACGGGACAAAATAAAAATTTTCTACACAAATAAATATGCTGCAGACAAGATTGTTCTAGAAGGAGTCCACCTATATAAAGTTTTGGATGGAGTACCATGTGCACCCTTTTTCTTGAAATTGTTGAGGAAGAAAAGGAGCTTGGTGTCATAAGCAGGAATACATTTTGCAAAATTGAATTGAAAACTGTGATGTACATTTACGCTTGGTTGAATAAAATGGTAAATTTTGAACCAACTTTACCAGAAAAACTTATTTTTATGAAAATAATTGGAAATTAGTAGAATACAGCTTCAACAATTTGCGTCCCCTTTCGAATAGGGTGTTCTTATTTTTGAAATTATTTTTTGAGGGCTTTCAATTCACTTGCGAGTCTCACAGCAAGATAAAATTTCATCAAAATGCAAGCAAAAAAAATCCCAGTGTGAGTCTTAAGCAAGGGTGGGTGCTGTTACTGGTGCTCAAGTAAATACAGCGCATGCTCATCCTTCTGATGCATCATCCATTTCCATTGATTTTTATTCATTTTACGTTTCCACGTGCCTCCAACCTGTTGGAAGAACTTCTGCCGAACCCCGACCACCATTTCCGGTGTGTTACTGGCAATTTGAGCCCTGTATAATGCGTACTGCCTCGCGTTGGTACACACGTATATCTATTGAACGTACAGTAATGATGTAGATTTTAAGATATATCGAGTTCCCGTTTGTTATTATTTCCAATCAGCATACCGGCTTTCGTGGGAAGATAATTAGAACGTCGTTTTTTTTCACTGAGAAAAATGTTATGAAGAAAAACATCTCTGAGCTGTATGCATCGAAATTCTTCGTTTTCCTAAGTTCATCATATTTTGAAAATAGCGGGATTATGTCTCTATAATAGATGGCAGATGGATTTTTTACAAATATACGTGTTCCCATACTTTGAACATGAACACATCGAAAAACACGATACCTATTATGCAAAAATCTCCGTCGCTTTTTCTTATTCGCGGATCAACAAAGCTTTGAATAAATTAAAATATGGAAGAAAAGACGAGGCTCGGTCTTTGGTATTTATCACAGGGCGATTCAGGAGAATAATTTTCAGCCGTATCGTAGTGAACAACGACTTTTTTCGCTTCAATTTCTGTTACCTTGATGCATAAAAAATAATGGGGTTTACAATATTCCACTGGTACAGTACTTATTCTTCGATCCCTATTCAGATGATTCAATTCTTGATAACCAGGCTCATGTACAGGGCTTCGAGGTCGGGGTTCAGCTTGGCATATCATGTACCAAAATATTCCTGTACAGTTGTGTGTAAGGCACTCGGTTTTAGATATCAGATGGGTTTATTTCAGACCATGCAAGATATTCTCTTCAAGAATTTCGAGAAAGACGTAAATAGGGAAATCAATTGCAGTCGTTTCTGGAGTTATTCTTGGCAAACCGGTGTATTTCGGCCGTCGAGATAACGACAGCATGACGTGACGTCTGTCGTTGACTCGCATGTGTTTGATACAGACCTATAGTGGAGGAAAATATGTTACGAAGTGTTTCCAAATCTCGCTAGAAGAAATGAAAAGATATCAATGAAAAGTTTGAAGCATTTATACTGCTTTAAATATTAATCTCGCTAGAATAAATGAAAAGATATCAATGAAAAGTTTGAAGCATTTATGCTGTTCACCTTGAAAATTTTTCTTTTCAATAAGAAATGAGGATTTTAGATAAATAAGCATTGCAGACTGCCAATACGTAGCAAATAATGGGGATGTTGGGAATCCAGACACTGGGATCATGGCCTGTCAATGTGTTCTGCAACACCTTCTCCAATGCTTCAAATTTCAAACCGATGTCCTGTATTTTGGCATTTTGAGCAAGGCATTGCAGCACATATTGTCAGTTTATTGTTCAAGAAGATGGAGATGAAGGCAAGGTTGAAACACATTGCCAAACACATATGCATTGGGTATGCACAACATTTTTGGTAAGAAATGCACCTGCCCATTCAGAGAATCATTAAACAACTCAGTGCCAAGGTATTTAGCCAATGTACACTGAAATGTCCTTGAAATTGTCAGTCTTAATTGAGGAAATGTATGTGTAATGCTGAATTGAACATTGCTGATTCATTGTTGAGCACAAGGTTAAACTTTGATAAACAAACAAAGCAATAGCTAAAATGTTTCTTAACATTTGAAGATCTATAAAAAGTTTGCTAATTGACATAGAAAAGCATTAAAAAAGCAATTGTTTCCCACAATACGGCCTGTCAAGCTTTCTTCTTCTACTCAACAATGAATCAGCAATGCAAATGCAATGTTCACTTGAACATTGCAAGTACTGTGCATTGCTGATTTATAATGGAGTACCAGGAGAGAGCTTGATAGGCCTCACTTGATACCTTCGATACCTTCTAAAAAGGATGCTTCAATATTTTTCCCATGAGACGCAATGTTTCTTTAAATATGCTTGTTATCATTGATTAGGCTCCTGTCTTTTTTGTTTTGTTTTGGCATATCCATGAGATTGACTCTGAATGAGCTTTCACCAGCCATCAAATCATTTTACAGATGAAAAAAATTCAAGTTGTGAAAAACTTGAAATTTACCTCCAACTATACACTTATTTCATGTGGTTCCTAAAGAATATTGCTTCTCCAGCACTGACTCAAATAAATAGCAACATCGCTGGGATGAGGTTTTGGTAAAAAAATGAAAAAAGAAAATGCAGTACATTATTATGAATTTAGTTTTATGCATGTCCACTGAGCTGATATGGTAGCACAATTTGTCCGGAGATGATATCAACGTTTTAAAATTTATGGTTTTTCATCGTTCAGGAAATTTTGGCACGGATCCCATACCTTATTGAGCGCGACATTTTCCAGCTGCCACCGGTATGGTTGGGGATTAATTTTTTAAAAGTTGAATGTATGTCCGTTACAACTCGAATAGTCCGCAGTTCGGAGACCCTCGACCCCCATATACTCAACGCATCAGTAAATTAGTAAAACAGTACCTGATGGCGAACACGAGCAGTACAGGAGGAGAACTCGCAAACGTCAGAAAGATCCCTCTTAATTGCGTGTTTGTTTAATCCCTGCAAATGTTTGATGGTGCATATGCCGCAGTGGATCCCACGGGAGGGAACTTGATCTGGACCCGAGTGTTGGCCTTCCTGGACCGCAGACCCGAGGAGTTGGCGGAATACCTGCACTTGGAAACGGATCTGCACACGTCTCTCGCAGTTTCCGCCAATCACGTCCTGCTCACCCCGGGTGACGACGCGAATAACAACGGGAGCACCAGCGCCAGCAGTTGTCAGGGCTTCGGATACCAGTCCAGGTATTGTTTTCTCTCTCTCTCTCTCACTCTCTAGTATCTAATATACGAGTGGAGTATACTGTATGCAGTACTTCCCATTTTGCTTCATCGTTTTCCTCCTCCACCGCGGATGAAGGCTTGCTGTAGGTATACTACTCGCCCTTGATTATTCCTTCGCTTCCTCATGCACGTGGATGAAACGCCTACGGATGTTTCTTCTTTATTGTGTTGACCGAGCAAAGAGAAGTGCCGTTCTGCATAGCAATGACCATGTTCACTTCTGTACTAACGTATTTTGCCACGAATGAAGTCCGGGGTGTATACACATACAGTTATAAAGTATATAACAGCACTACAGTCACATCCCGTTGCAATAACGAATTCCCAGAGAACTGATGAAAATTCAAAAAGAATCCATCATAACAAGATCAATGGTTATTTGAACTACTTGTTATCCTGGAAAGGGAAACTACTTTTGTAGCCTCACTCATGACTGCATGAGAGAGCACACTTTTTGCACTCTCTCATATCAATGGAGCAATCAACTGTTTGCCTATGCCATTCATTTCCAAATTCTATAGAACTGGAAAAGAATGTATAGTAAATGACCCTGTCATCTAGAAACAAGTTAACCTCACTGACCTTCTCTGACAGGTGGTTCTGAGGATTAATTGAATTGGAGCAATCTAGACTCAATCATCCTTATCCTATTCATTCAACAGGAATAGTATGCTTGACCCAATTTTCATCTGTTGTGAATCCAATCCAGAATTGCAGAGTGATCATTTCTCTCCTTTTCCTGGTCACACCTGGACAGGACAATTGTGACTTTCACTGTTTGAGGCTTGGAATCATTGGATCCTGGTCATGATTGGCCTGGCACAAAAGCCTGCCCTGGCCAACAGAATATTGTTTCCATGTATTGGTGCAGATTTGTGTAAAAACAGACCCCTCTTCCTGCTTCAGAAGAATTCTAGCATCAGTCTATTCCTGGAGAACTAGCTGGTTAACCTTGAGTAACTTGTGGAAAGTGTGTTTTGGAATAGTGGAATTCCACATCTGACACTCATACTTTTGTATTGTGTTATATGTTTGATACTAAATCCAAAGTGTTGTGCTGTATTGTGAATAGTGCACAATAAAGTATTTGAGCCACACTTCTGACTTAGTCCAGTTAATTCCTTGTAGAAGTAACATTCCTAGAGGATCAGGACTACAATGTAGACTGACCTTTTGCAGGAAACAGCTAATAGATGCTTCAAAGAACTGCCTTACCAGATTTTCAAAATTTCTAACTTCGTTTGATGAAATCACGAAAAAATATAATTTCAATTACACTTCACACCTTTCCAGGATTAAAAAACGTATATGTTTGAAGGTTTTATAATTATGCACAAGTTTGGTTTTCCCACATTATGTCCATTGATAAATCATTAATTGGTCCATCAGACATTATAAAAGCAAAATTCTTAAACCTAACAGTATAGAGGATGATTACAGTACGGTGTCATTTGTTTCAACAAAATTTTTCAACTTTTTTGCATGAAGAAACAGTAAGTACTGTATCAACGAAACATTTTACAGCAAAAACGTCGGCGAATTGTACTGCATGGATTAAGGGTTTACGGTACTCAATTGTCCGGTACATGTAGTATAATTACTACAAATATCATTGCCTTCAGGAAAATTTAAGAAAGTGTGATACCGTAATGGCGTAATCCTTCTAAGTCATCACATCAAATGCATGTTACACGCATCGTGCAGTCGGGTCGATGAACTTAAAAAAAAAAAAGATCCTCGTATTCCTACTGTTCAAAATGATAAATACATTTTTCTCATCGAATTTTCATAGATTTGCAGCAGACATCCGACCTGGAGAGAGGCTGTTCGTGGCTAGTGGCAACTCTGTTTTGACCGCGGAAGTTCGCACAATTAAACGGACAATTGAAAAAGGTGAAGGTCGATTCGAATTTTTCCACAATCAGGATTTGGTGCCAATGTTGCTGCCAATCACTGTTGAATCGATGATGAACTCGGTCGCGAACGTGTCCCAATTATTGTTTCTTCATTATTGATATGAATCTTTTTTTTTAATTCGACGAGAAGATCAAACCACTCAATAGAATAAATTACATTGTTTCTCCTGAGATCGACACAATGGGCGAACTTTTAATGCTGGATGATCTCATCACAATGAACTTCCAAGGATCTGATAAACATTTTTTTTTATAATTAAAACATTGTTATTATTGAGGTTCATCATATTAGGACATTAATGGGTGGGGAAATTGGCAATAAGCATTATGAAGTGCTTCTGCAACATATTCTGTAAATTGAAGCGTATATGGTCTTGAAGGCGTCGTTATTCCTAATTTTATCCAGTGGAATGCAAAGGGAAATGTTAGGTTATTTTTATCCCGCCTTTATTTCAAATTTCCTAATCATGTGTGAAAAAATAGAAGTGAGATAGATGTACTCGTAAGAGGTACCTCCTTCCATGCGAACTTGAATAAATCACATCATTTTTATTTACAGGTACATTCTCTTTGACAAACTGTACCGTTCATTTGAAAAAGAGCTATTGCAAAATTCTCGGATGAGCCGGAATAATTTCCAAGAAAAACATCGGGCGTTATCAAAATCTCCATGCTCTACCGAATTTTCTTTTTTAAAAGCGTTCATTAACTTATTATGTTGCATGAGAAAAAAGTTACGCATTTCCTTCAGGGCGCATTAAAAAACAGGACAAGAAATTTTTAATAGTGGGGTTTATTTCAGCTGTCGAAATTACAATAGGATAATAGTGTAGTGATAAATGTGGAGAGGAAATCTTGAAACCAGAACAAATTTTATATTGAATAACGAGATTCAACGAGATTTGTTGTAGCGGAATTGTACCATATGGTTTTGAAATATTTTTTGCAATTCCTCTGCTGCCCGTCTTCTACGAACAAATTTAACTCTGTCTGATGACATAGAGCAATTGTGATTGGACGATCCAGACCAGCTCGATCACATAGCATGGTGTTTTTCAAATTTTCCATAGACTACTTTTTATTTTCGTTTGCTTCTTCGGAATGACCACAGTAGCACAATAACACGAAATCTCAAGTGTGAGAGTGAATACCGCACGTATATGCTTTCCTTGTCATATGCATGATCGTCTCATCGTCACCATGCAGGTGCGTTCGTGCCATTGACGGCAGAGGGCAACCTGATCGTGGACGGCACCCTGGCTTCGTGCTACGCCACTTTCCACCACGACTGGTCCCACATGGCCCTGAGGCCCCTCATCTCCGTGGTCCAGCAGTGGCCAGCCAGCCAACACACCGTGCAAGCCTTCACTGGCCACTACGTTTCCTTCCTCAAGTGGGCCGGGAATGTGCTCCTGCCCGAAGGAAGGCTCAAGTTCGGAGACAAGAGAAACACCGGCGTCCTCAAAACCATTTCTCCGGAAACCAGTCCCCTGGACTTGGTCGACTCTTACGCCAAGAAATGCTTCTTCTCCATCCTGACATCGGTGTAGAAAATGGAAATTTTGAAAATGCCTGTCCTGGTCTGGGGTAGTGTTTCACGAAAAAAAATAACAAAACAGAAACGACTTAGGAGAATTAAAGGTTAAATGTCTGCACGAATAACATATTACTGTATATATGGTCAGTATTGGATCCAAGCGTATATCAGCCCTCAAGTGTCCATGGACAACAGTTTTCTTGGCAGACTTTCATGCGAGCAGGATCAGGAAAGTATATTCAGTCTCGGCCGAGTATACGAAATCGGAGTGCAGTATTTGAAATATTTATCGTTCACTCATTTTATTTGGGAAAATTGCGTGTTTGTTATCATCGGATGGAATTTCGTTGCTGCTGTTATATTTACACAACAGTGGTACAATGAATATGGACGACGAAAATAGTTTCCATCAGGAACTTTTTCTCCCCGGAGGAATTCGAGCATCGTGCCAACGATTGGAAGCCACATGTGTTCGTTGACGATTCGAGAAATACATAAACAACTATCGAGCAACAACAACAAACGAGAAATTTTTTTTTCGAATACATGTGGGAGGATAACTAATGCAGCAAAATGCCGTTACAACGATCTCCGAAGGGACGTGATGGAAAATCGTTACAGCTAAAAATTCGGTTTAATGGCATTAATGGTTTTCAATGCATTTTAGGCTGAAATTTTGCGGGAAGTGGGTAAAAGAAATGCTTGCAAGTGTTTCAGAAAAATACAATTTAAGTCGTGTCGACATTTCCAAGTCTCTTTGATAAAATCATACAGAAAAGTTTTTGAATATATAGTATAACACATGTATTTTCTACTTTTTTCTTTAAACCTGCCTTTCCACCCATAAATGCTGCGTCTATTGCAAAATGAAATTAAAAAACACATGTGGGAGGATAACTGATTCATTCATTTTGATTCCACTCATCATAGTCATGAACATTCCTACCAGTTTGTTCTTCCCAATAGAGAAAAAATATTTCCATCGTACTTTAAAAAAAAGCATACATTTTAAAATTGAGGTAAAGCATTTTCAAGATACATATCATGTGATGTTGTGTATTTTTTCACACTACATTTTCTCCCCAGAAAGTCTAGCTTCTTCGATGAAGTTGGGATTCTGCACCATTTAATGTTTCCCCCATTTTCCTGCGGTTTATCAAATAACTGCTTTGGCCTATGAAAAGAATGAAGCCCAATAAACTGCAATATGCTGAGGCTACACCCTCAAACGAGTTTGTTAAAATTCAATTCTTATAACGTATTACACCTGCAATAAAGAAACTACAGTTGTTAGAAAAAGAGGAAAAATTCGTTATGATGAGATTCGGCGTAACGGAAATTTTACTGCGAATTTGTAGTTTTTTTTGCATTTATTCATTGAGTGATGTACACCAGTGTACATTACTGAGTTTCAGTCGCTGGATGATGCACGATGACGCCCTGATTCCGTCGTATGATGCTGCCACAACAGCATGTGTGGCTCTTCTTCGTATCGTACTGTATATATACACAACAACATCTATTTGCGGCCGGTGACGCACAAGCAGAGGGGGAAAACACGCGGTTTTGATGCGTGTCATGCGGAGTGGAGTGATTGACAGGGATGCAAATGACGCTCGCAGGGAAGGGATCGTTCGTTGCGTCGGAGATCCCCTCGCCCGAGCCAAGAGCGGAGAAGATCCTTCGTGATGTCCCATCCGAACACGTCGAGGGCCATCACTGATCCATCTCTTTATCGGCCTCATGCTGCTGCTTCTTTGGCGGCGGCGTCCTTGACGCGAGTAAAGTCAACATGTTGACTGTTTTTGTTATTGTTGTTGTTTTTGTTGTTGCTTCTTTTTTTTTTTCTTCAACCGACGACAGGACAGGATTGGACTCACAAAGAGTATCTCCTCTTCGAAAATGCATCCGGTGATTTCCAATAATACGCAAGAGAGGTGAAAATAAATTACAAGAAAAGCAAAAGATAGACCACTTCCGGCTGCTTCCTTCGTCTCTCTCTCTCTGCTCATCCAAAGCAGACAGGTTGGGTGCGCATCAAGTTTTGAAGTGACCCGAAAAAATGGCTTGCTCCCAGGTCATTTTTAGACAGCAGTGATGGTTTGGGTCTGACTGATGTGGGGTTGAAGGTTTTTGTTATTGATGTTCTTTTCTCCTCCATCTCTGTTTATCTCATCGAAGAATGGAGTACACGTGATCCCAACAAATACTGAATTGTTATTTTTCACTTCCATATGACTGGGGTTCTCTGGAGTCTGGACGCAGCTTCTTTCATGATTCCACCCACGCAAGTACAAAACTGCACAGATGAATTAAGCTAATCGTTTCGTCATGTCAATGAACAGCATAACCTTTTGATCGCGTATACAGATGTTCCAGTGTACAGAAGAGACCATATACAAAAAAAGGTCTGTCACTTGAAAGTGAGAATTACAATCATAAAAGGTAGTGTTTCACATCAGCAAGTTTTCATAAGAAAAAAGCCCCAGTTTGTAACTCGTTAGATTCGCTCATGATGCCCCATACCCCTTTCTTTTTTTTAGGCCTGTGGTCAAGCAACGATTTTTATACAGTTTTTTTTTATTACCGTATGTGTGGAACAGGAATCTAACATACTTACATGCATTAATAATATCAAGTATAGACGCAAAATACAGATTGTATTAGGCAAACGTTCTCCTTATAATCCTCAACTAATCCTTATCCTCACTTGAATGGTTATGAATGAATTATGCAGAGAAGCTTTCGGCAGTCAACAACGAACTTTGGCGGCATTCATGATTAGATACTGAAGAAGGAGGTGCACCAAAAGTACTCTTTAAAACAGTGTGCAAAAAAGTCTACAAATTCTTCACGGAAAAGATTCGACACAAATGGAAAGCTGTTTATTGAAGTGAAGTGTTGGCGTGGCCATACATGCAAGAGAAACTTTGCAAGGAAAAATCAAGAAAGCAAAAACAAAACAAAGAACAAATGGCAAGATATGAATGACAGGAAAAGTAGATGACAGTACAGTATGTCAACCAGCACTTTTACTTCACCAGGTGGTAACCGGCACTTTGACCAGAACACTTTGCTGAACTATAGGGTCCCATTTCAAAACGGTCAATTTGAGAGACACTGTAAAATTAAGTAAAAGCAGCAAAAAATTCTGCAAAAGTTACTAAAGCACATCAAATTGTGGGGCAGACATCAAATTGCAAGTAAATCTCCCAGCAAATTTGACCATCAAAATGTAAGACTTGAATTGCAAGATGGTAAATTTCAAGGTACCACATGATGGACCGTTGTTTTGGATATTACAAATGCAGTAAGACTGTACACATATGTCATCTGTCATCAAGATGATCTAGAATATCAATTTTGCTTGACATTATTACAGCTGAAACACCATAAACAACGGTTGAGTGCATTCACCTTTAATAAAATGTCACAGGTTTCTTTCATTCATTTTTATGTAAAATTTAAATTGATTCCCAAGCTTTCGAACTAACGAAATGTGGAGCAGGATGAGCAAGACTCTCCGTCGATGAGATTGAATGTGCATACTTTTTTGTCGTACAAAGCAAACTGCTCTTAAATGTGTGATAAACATACATAATATACACTATTGGTTCACTTAAAGCTTTTGAATGTCTCTAATATAACACTGGTTGGAGCTATATAAAAAACAAACAAAGATTTTTAAAGAATGCTTGTTGCAAGGAGTTGGCCAAATAATTCCTTCTACTCCTAGAATATTTTGGACTCCTGAATAGAATTTACAGGATACTGTTGAATATTCAGCGTATGGAAGATTGACCAAGTGGAAAATGTGCCAAGAAGGGCTTAAAGCATTGTCAATCCTCTTTGGCGCCTTTCCACAGAGTTTTGGCAAGACCCAGGCTTACCAACAGTACTTCAGTGAAAATTCATAATAAAACTGGGGAATGTTCTTCCCTGCACTGAAGCTTTGACATTCAGGCAATAAATGTATCAAAATTCAAACACCTCAGAAATAATATTATATTAGATTCATGACTTTGCTCTAATTTTTTATTAGGAGGAAACCCCATGTACAGTAGTATATTCGGAAAGTGGTCCAAGAGAAAAACGATCGAATATGCTGACGTTTCGACATGGGGACGAGGTACAAATAACAAGTACTGCACGTCCGTATCTTGGGATACTACTGTATGCTTTTCTTGAGCCCGCGCCTTTCTACCATTTCAAATCGTTGATTTGTTTTTTTATCATTCGGAAATTCGGGGATTTCACGCATTGAACGGAGAGCACTTCCTAATTATGCCCAATCTTTTCGTTCCAGCAGGCGTAAAAGTCATGCAGGATATACGTATACACCGCCGAATGAAATATTCACGCATCATCCCTTCTGCTGTGGTTTTCTTGAAACTACAGCACGGTAGAGTAAAGCTCTTGGTGACGTGAGTTATGAGACCCCGTACTGCACTATATACATATCATATCCCTGTTCACTTCTCTGCAGTGGTACAGTACTGTACACTGCATATATAGGCATTCCGATGTGGAACACCCCGACCTGCGTCTCGGCAGCTGCTGCCCGAGCAGATGCATGCCCGACATCACATTCCCATTGATCAAACCCAGTCTGGCATTTTGTGCGCAATAAACCGTCCACAACCATGAAGGTGGGTTTCGGATCAACCTTGATTCAATTTTTCAGGAGAATGTCTGAATGGTTGCGTCGACTGCGTGCATATGGCTGCATGTCAATGTGTCATCAGCAATGCATGCACTGGTATCCAGCAGTGCCTGCTGACAGTCACAATGGTGTTGTCTAGAGACTCTAGACTCTAGACTCCAGAGGACATGCACCAACAATTTTCTACCTGTGTCTCTCTTTAAATATTTCCCATTTCCATTCATGTCAAGCTCAGAAATGAACTTTTGCGCATATAAGGCCAATTTTCATATCATAGATACAACTGACCCTGCAGCACCAAAATGGTGCCATGTTCTGCACATCTCTGAAGCAACTTATGTTGCCTTGGTGCATACTGGAACCTGCTACTGATGCACAACCTGGTTTTTTTCTGCTGTCCTAGTGAGCTGTGCTAAAATCCAGTTTTGCAAAGGTCACTGAGCCTGACTCAAGGCTAAAGAAGTGGTCATCACTTCTTATATTTTCCTTGAAACATTTACTTTGTGAACCACAAAGAACTCAATCAGATTCCTCCCAGACTGGCAGGAATGACTTGGGTATTGTTGAGGAGAAACTTACCTTAACATAAATTTGTAAAAATTTGCACGTGGATCAATTTATAAAGTAAAGTTTTTGAACTGTTGAAATATAAAACAGAATCAGCCTGGGATGAGGCCGGGGAACCTTATTTGGTTTCCCTAATTTAAACTGAATGAATATATTTCGAAATTTGTCCCACAAGTTAATTGCAAAAGACACAATTTTTTCCAAACACAACAACTCAACAGAACTCTTCCACAGACACACTTTTGCAAATTTTGTAGTTGCTCACCCAAAAGTTTGATTGCGAATTTGAGGGG